AAACTTTTACTGCGTTAGAGATCAGAGTCAAAATAACGTTTTGGTAATTTTTTGTGAAAGCCACCTAGGGATAAGTGAGACAATTAGAAATTATTTTTTTTACATATAATAAAAAAAATCAAAGCTTGAAGTTAGATTTCAAAGTATATCATACAGTTATAATTTTTTTTTCGTGCTAGCGATTTATTGTCCTCTTCATGTGCGTATAATTAAAAGGTGTTAAATTCGATTGTTAGAGAAGTTTGTTTGAGTCTTTGTATTCGCAAACCTGTCTACTTGTTTATATATATATATTTATATTTACATTTAAAATTTTTGTTGAGTTGTTTTTATTGAAATAGCTATAGCTAAGTAGTAAACGTTAGGTGTTTAAAAAAGGTTAAACCTCATATGACGGAAAATACAATAAGACGGTGTGCGAGATATTTAGCAATCATTTTAAAACCAGACAGTAGAAACACTGTTAAACTGTTTTTGTTCTTACTAATCTGGTTAATTCTTCCACACTACACAAGTGTATTTAAAGTATCATATTAAGTTAGAAAGACCTCGCGAATTCAATGAATAGTGTTATTTACTGATTGCTGCTTAGAAACACTAGTTAAAATATAAAATAATTTTAAATTTTTGGTAGGCCTACACAAAATGTTTTCGTCGTTTCGAATAAAACTCGCAACCTAAGCGGCTCATAAACTTTTCGCTCAGTTAATAGTCTGGTAAAATTTCGTTAAATTGGGCCTTTCTTACGAATCAGTAATTTTATATCTGATATAACTTGTTGTAGAAATTACAAGAGTAAATTGGTTTGTTTTAAAGTGACTTAGTATCTAATGTCAAACAAGATTAACACTTGATGTAAAGAAAAAATTCAGCGTTTGCTTTGAATAGGCCTAAGTTTGAGTTGGTGGCTTTGGTTATCAGAAAAATGGAATATACAATGATGTTAGTAACTTGAAGAAAGTGCCCCCCCCCCCGTGGCACAGCAGTATGTTTTCGGACTTACAACGCTAGAAACAGGGTTTAGATACCCGTGGTGGGCAGAGCACAGATTGCCCATTGTGTAGCTTTGTGCTTAATTACAAACAAACAAACAATTGAAGAAAGTAGCTAGTAAATCTCATAATATTATTTTTTTACTATAAAATAATGATGAACTATATTAAATCATAAAACTGTATTTACTTGCATTTCACTTAACTTTACCAGACAGTGCATTATCCAATTTGTTCTGGAGACCATAAAGTGAATGAAATATTAATTTCAAAATGAAATACTATTATTAATAATAATGCCTTGTGCAGTTTTTTTAAGGTGGATATGACGCGTGACCGTAAAAGTAACTTAAAATGTGTCACCACTTAATTATAACAAGCCTATGGTGCCATTAGGTGTAACCCCATTTCCGCTGTATTGTGTTGTTGAAAACAAAACTTTTGAAGTCCTTGTGCGATTTAAATTAATATAGTTTTTTTTTCTCTCTCTCTAGATGTTAAATGTAGCGTATCTTGTTTACCAAAGAATATTTTGCGAATGTTATCGTGGATGTCATTCTAGTTTAATCCCATTACTGTTTACATAATATAATCACGCATAACATTCTAGTTTAATCCCATTACTGTTTACATAATCTAATTACGCATAACATTCTAGTTTAATCTCATTACTGCCTATATAATGTTATCATGAATAACATTCTAGTTTAATCCCATTACTGGCTACATAATGTTATCATGGATGACATTCTAGTTTAATCCCATTACTGTTTACATAATGTAATCACGCATAACATTCTAGTTTAATCTCATTACTGCCTATATAATGTTATCATGGATAACATTCTAGTTTAATCCCATTACTGGCTACATAATGTTATCATGGATGACATTCTAGTTTAATCTCGTTACTATCTACATAATGTTATCATGGATGACATTCTAGTTTAATCCCATTACTGTCTACATAATGTTATCGTGGATAACATTCTAGTTTAATCTCATTACTGCCTACATAATGTTATCGTGGATGACATTCTAGTTTAATCCCATTACTGCCTACATTCAGAAACTAGCATTTGAGTGTTCACTCTTTTTTTTTTCTTCTGGCAAATTTTGGGTTAATCCCTTGTATGTTATTGTAACATGACTGTATGAGATATGAAAAGTATAAGCTTTTAAACGTACTATACTTTTTTCATATGTGCTTTTCGGAAAGTTTAAAGGGTTAGTGAGTTGTACTTTGTGTCTGTATAGATCTAAGTGAACTATTTTTTTTAATAATATGTATACAATTACTCTAAGTGACTCAATATTTAACGTCTTAAACTTAGCTGTACTGTTTAATTGCCCTTCGTTTGTTTACACCTATCCACTATTCCTATTGTTGAGCAACCTTCAGGAGGTCACAGGTTCTTCCTTATCTTGTACCTGCAGGTATTGTTAACCTGTAACAATGTCTGGAAGGGAGATAGGAGCTAGAAATTACTAACAATCATTCGATAAATTATTCTAGAGAGCGTATAGATATAAATATCATTTTTGATCTTTTATCTTTCTTATTGTTACTTGTCTTTATATTCCTTTCTGTAGCTAACATAAGACAATGTTGGAGATCGAGAAAGTGTTTGCCAAAAAACAGTGTAGTTTTCTGTTATCTTTGTTTAATTTATTTGTGTATGAAACGTGCTAATATTAAGATTTTTCTCTGTTTTTAAATTTCAACTACGTACACACCTCTCAATTGTTCACCTATAATATACGTGGAGAATAACATTCAATGATAAAATCCAAGGATGATCTGTTAAACTCAGTAATTAGTAGTGATTTGTTTGCTCTAACCAGTGAATAAAATAACTACCTAATCTCCAGAGATAGAAGCTTGTTAATATCACATGCAATTACAACTTATTGGCATTTTTCATAAAGCTAAACAAATAATATCAAATCACATCATTTACTAAGTTGTTCATATATGATCTGAAGATGAAGATCTAACCATAGGATCATAAAATGTAACGATGTCTTAACTATTAGGTTGTTACACTTTCATTCACAGGTACAAACTCATGGGGAGTTTGGCCGAACCCCCTCTTTTTGTCATGTAAAAAAAAAAAATTATGCCTATATAGTCATAGCGCAGCTGCTTATGTATTTAACGTTTGCTATATAGTCTACATTCTTCTGATGAAGCAAGACAAAATGGCTTTTTATACCTCTCCAGGACAGGCCAAAGATACTGGCTGACTGCTTAAAAACGTTCTTTAGTGTACTTAATATCTTTATGTTACTGAAAATCTTTGTCACACTGCCACTAAGTTCATGTTCATGTGAGCGTTCGGCATCTGCTCTCCGCCGGTTGAATAATTACCTGAGGTGTACACAAACCGAAGAAAGACTGAGTGCTTTAGCTCTAATATATGATCATTATGACAATGCTATCGATATTGAAACTGTATGTAAGTTATTTATGGAAAAGCACCTTAGCAGAATAAAGCATGCTAACTTGTTATTCCAGTAGTACATACGTGTAGATATATGATAGCCAACGATTGAAATAGCTAATATACTATTGTTGTACAGAGTTGTTTAAATTAGTGATATAATTCAACAATTAATAACTACTCTGCTTGTAGATAGTACAGTAATTTAATAAAACATACATATTTATGTTAATTTAAGTCTAGTTCCCCATGCGTTGTTACAACAGAATAGTGACTTTTTTGACATTTGATTTAATGTTTGTGGATTTTATGTATTTGCTTCCAGATTTAATCTCATAGCACTTATTTTTTACAAATATTTTTTGGGAGGGGCGCATGCCTACAGGCCCCCGTAGCATTAGCATGCTTTGCATGCTGATTGTGCTTCGCGCAATATATGTTGGCTTTCAATCTCGCAAATGAGAACCCTCCCTTTCAAACATTCCACATACAGGCCTAATGAGAACCCTCCCTTTCAAACATTCCACATACAGGCCTATTGAGAACTCTCCCTTTCAAACATTCCACATACAAGCCTAATGAGAACCCTCCCTTTCAAACATTCCACATACAAGCCTAATGAGAACCCTCCCTTTCAAACATTCCACATACAAGCCTAATGAGAACCCCCCCTTTCAAACATTCCACATACAGGCCTAATGAGAACCCTCCCTTTCAAACATTCCACATACAGGCCTAATGAGAACCCTCCTTTTCAAACATTCCACATACAGGCCTAATGAGAACCCTCCCTTTTGAACATTCCACATACAGGCCTAATCCGATTTGTATTTATTTGCATTTGGTTAGAAAACATTTTATTGTGTATTATTTTAAACTTAGTAACTATTTATTAACTTCGATCTTGTATTATTATTTTACATTTATGGAAAAGTTACTAAAGCTATCTGGCGCCGTCCCTAATTTTGAACAAATGAACATAAGGATTAACTGTAACTGAGGGGAGTATTTTATTGTATGTACGAAATAGAACCTGGTTCGCCTGTTTCAAAATTCATTCATCTACCACAGTGTCAACTGGCGCCCCTATTAATGTCAAACGAGAGGAAAATTGTTAATTTCAGACCTTATGACAATTTATTAACCATGAAGTCAGTTTATTTATTTTTTTCTCATAAACCTCCTTATTGAATAAAGTCATTGTTATATGTTTTAGCAATAACTCACGTTATATCAATCGCCTGGATATATAAAAGCAGCAATAAATCAGATATCCTAAAAATCTATATAATAAATACTTACATATTGCGACCTAAAAACAAAGGCGGGAAACAGTTTCAAAAGTACGTGATCACTCTTGCCAAGCCTCTTTGCAAATACCTTTCAAAACATATGCTATTCTTGGACTCGGTTCTTTCATTTATTCCATCACAATCCAGGAAGGAAGAAAGAGTCAAAGCTAGGGTTTAAAACGA